TCAATTTGAGCTTGTTGACATCTTTATTTAATTTTTTTCCCCTAAATGGCTAAATAGGGTTTACGTTTTCTGAAAATATTGGATACTGTTGAAACAAATGTTTCACTTTTTTTTTTAAATTAACAAACATCATGCTGTTTCGGCATTGGTTAAATAACGTAACGCTTGACCTGTGAGGGTCGTGAAGTTGTATCGATGGAGGTACTAACCGACAGAACCCCACATTGTTCTCTGTCTTCCGCTTTTTGAACAAGTGTATGACAGCTTAGTCCTGTCCATTTCTTAACATTGTCATTCCAGGTTCTTCTTTGCCTTTTTCTTCTTCGACGTCTTGAACATTATCTGTTTTTGGGTCTTTGACATACTTGTTAGTTTTAAGTTATAAATAACAAATTCGTAAAATTAGTCTATAGCATTTACATCAAAAAATCTTGAATTGTCATTTTCATTTCAACAGTGAGGGTCTAATTCTCACATCCGTATGAGGAAAAGGAAAACCAGTGGTTTTTATGCATTGACCTTACTGCAATGCGGGTATTTCTGTTCCACATCGTATTCAGCTAGGACATCGTGGCTGTTGCTATATAAAGTTTTTTCTTGATCTCTTTTTACCGCTGCCATCGATGCATATTTGGGAGCCGATGTATTTAAAGGTTTCAACTTCTAGTTTTTTTCTCGTTTATCTGTGTGTTGGTAGGTACATAATTATTGTGCCTATACCTGTTAGATCTTCCAGATATAAACGCCAGGCTTAATATGCTCCAAGCGTGTGTCTACCTCAAAATCACTGATGTCTTTATACACCCACTGCACGATGAACTGAATACACGTAAAAGAAACAGAGTTAAAAAAGCCAGTTCTGGTTAGGCCGGGCAGAGACAGTACATCAAAGGGTAATTTCCCCTCAAGACAAAAATTGTGGAGAGGGCTGGACACGCATACCAAATTAATCCAAGAAGCATTTTATGGTGGTTATCACCCTGACAAGACAGTGCCGTGATTCGGCGCTACCGTGAAAAGTGAAAGCATTTGTGGAGGAACACACATCACCGAAAGATCCTCTTTTATATATACATATATACGTACACGTCGGCACTGTGGCTAAATCGATGCGAACGCTTCGTAATGCCGGGATGCCGGGTTCAATCCCAGCTGCGGGCCATGCGCCTTGCCTTGGTTTCGACAGTGCTATCAAGAAATCCGACCGTCCAGGAAGCAATGGCAAACTACTGGACGTAAATTTGCCTAGAAAAACAACACAACAGCCATGGGCTGTTGGGGTTGGTTCTGCAAAGTTCTGTAAAGGATACGCAACTAACCTTATATATGTACACACATACACACACACACACACACACACACACACGCACACACAAATCGTTCAGTGTTTCCTTAGAAGCGAAGTCCATGGGCTTTCACTACAAGAGCTAAAGGGAAAGTCATCAAAGAAGACAGTGAAGCCCTTGTTTCTAACACTAGCAGCATGACACTGAGGTCATGTCTGTGACAAATGCCCAGGATGGCGACAACTCCGGAATTCACCAATGCATGTTTGCTTGGTGATTCAATGAGACTACTAAAGAAGATCAAGGAGTTTTATGTAAGAAAACAGTGGCTCCCTCTGATATGACACACAATGCTTCGCAAAATCACCTTCATTTGTGTCCCGTGGCATGCCGGTGTGAAAGGCAATGAGAGAGCTGACGCTCTGACTAGCAGTGCGACTATCAGAAATAGACCATCTATGGACAGCAGAGACATCATCAACGCCATTCGAGAGACTAAACTCTGTGAGGCTTTCAGTTTTGTGTAAAATGATTTTCCCTGAATAGACTGCATATTCTGCGTGCCCCAATTGGAGCTGCAAGACATACAAATCACACAGGAGCCACTCGTCGTAACAGCAACCGGAACACAATGGGGGTTCACCCAGGAGAAGACTGGAGCACTTATGTTATTGGCTGTTGTCCGATAAAGGTAATATTTAAAATAAACACATTTGCTAGCTACCAGAATCTTGGTCTTCTTGATATTAATTGCCATGCCATATTTGCGATAGACTGTCTAATTTTGTTATAAGTTCTTGGAGTTCTGCTTCGGAACCAGCCATGAGATCAAAGTCGTTTGCGAAACGTAAATTACATAGTGGTCTTTCGCCAATAGATATAGATGTTTCATGATTTCTAGTGTTTCTCTCATGATGTGTTCCAAATACAAATTTAAAGGGGCAGGGTTAGCTGCACTGAATATGTTACCGGAATACTCTTTAAGGTACATGTGAGTACGGTCATCACCACAATGGGTTTTGTCGAAAACGGATGTGTTCATTCACTTTTGTCTTTTCAAATGTTACGTGAGATGTCAGGATATCTTCAACTGCGTGAGCCTCCCTCAACTTCCCACATTTAAAAAATCCACAACTTCATTTATTGCAGTCTTCTATTTTTAATTTTGAAACCAGTGTTATTTCCACCGATTAGCGAACCCTTCCGGCCTTTACCGCAGAAATGGTGAATACAGAGAGCAATCCAATTTAAAATTTTTTTTTCTTAGTTATTGCAGCCTGTTATTTCTTGTTCAGAAGCTGAAGTGTGTTTTCTCCTCTCTCCCGTAGAAGCTGATAATATGCATAATATCCCTGTTGGTCCGGATGCTTTTGAATCCACCTAGTTCTTTAGTTCATCGTATACTCCTCTATGCCTCATTGTTTGTTTTCTTCAGAATATGCTGACCCGTAAATCTGTGATCTCATTCGCTTTAAAAACATGACCACCAACTCTGATCAGTGAGTTGGTGTACTCTAGTGACGAAACGCTTGCTCCAAAGTCTCTAGGAATCTACATCGAAGGGAATTTCAAAATACCCTCTATCCACAAAACGACCCAGCAGAAAATTTGTACCACGAAATTTCATGGCAAAATGTATGTCTGGGTAATGGTGTCTACATCACCAATCAAGTTGCGAATGGACTGAAAAAAATATGGGTCTAGCAACATATGTCCGTTGACCTAATTGTATAAAAGCGTCCTAGGTTTATCTTGAAGTCACATGCGAAGATGATGATTAAATATTTAAACAAAACACGCGCAACAACAGACAAGATTGTTTTAACATAGTTTATTTTATCTTGTATTTCTGGAGCCAATAAAAACATCTGTACCTGCCATCTCATAAACTCCTGTTTTCTAAAAATGAAGATACACTATCATCAATCAATCTGGTTCTGTCTCCACAATGCAATGTGATCATCAATCAGTCTGGTTATGTCTCCACAATGCAATGTGATCATCAGTCAGTCTGGTTCTGTCTCCACAATGCAATGTGACCATCGATCAGTCTGGTTCTGTCTCCACAATGCAATGTGATCATCAGTCAGTCTGGTTCTGTCTCCACAATGCAATGTGGAGACAAGGGATCTCAAACATGGTTTGACTCTTGCCATGGTTGTACATTCTCTGAGACTGTTGTTCGTCCATCTATAGATAATATTTTTTCATTTATATCTTTGTTTGTCTCTTGTTCTTTTCTTTCCTGTAAGGTTCTTGTAATATTAATATCTTTTAATGTGCTCGAAATATGTAAATGTTCTCTTTTTATTTTTTTCAGCAACTCTCATTTTATACTGTCCTTTCAACGTCAAACCAACGACTACAAATATAACCAAAGCTTACACAGAAGCGGGCTGAACATTATCTAAGTTCTAAGCCCTCGCACCCCCTCCCCCTTCCTCCCAAAAATCGAAAACCTCTACAATTTTTTGTCTTTTGTTTCCAATAAATTGCACGTTTTCTTCAGTGTATCCACATTTCCTTATTTCAGTTTTTAATTATTTGCTTTTTGTCCAGGTATCTGTATTGTAAAGCAGTTTTGAGTAAACCTAACGTTTGACAATTGTTTGTTCATGTGTTGTTTATACATCTAGTTGTAAATAATTTTCCAATGTTTTAGCTCTACAAGCAGAACAAATCTATTTCTTTTTGTTCAAAGAGACGCATCGGTAGACCATTTGACATCGTAAAGTAGGACATCCCATGCCGATTTGTTGGCAGACCAGTCCAGACGGGCATCCTCCGCATTGATCACTGGATGTGGGCTGGCACCCAAAGATCTGGCAAGGTGTGGGTGTAGCTGTTGGCGTAACTGGGGAGGTAGCGACATGCCATTATTATACATTTTCAATTTTATTTGAACTAAAGAATGCCTCTTCTTCTACCTTGTAAATGCACTAAGTTGATTTAAGAAACGATATCCTGATACCCACATTCATATTGGACCGTCAAGGAATAGTCTAATTTTCCATGAGTGCTAATAAAATCTTAGCTCTGATGTCGAGCGATACCCAGAGTTAACGGTTTATGCCTCGGTGTTGATTTATGGGCACTTTTTCTTGAGGAAAAAAAGAATAAATCACATGCTCCCCAAGCAAGCGTGCTGTAAAAGGTGAATAAATAGTTGTTTTACATAATCGGATGTATTGGACCGAAAGGCACAGATATCGCAGCCTAGCTGTATCATACAACACAATGTTCCAATTGAAGTGTTAAGAGCAAACACAGAAATAGAAGAAGAAGAACAAGAAGAAGAAGAAGAAGAAGAAGAAGAAGAAGTAGAAGAAGAAGAAAAAGAAGAAGAAGAAGAAAACGAAATAATAGTAGTAGTAGTAGTAGTAGTAGTAGTAGTAGTAGTAGTAGTAGTAGTAGTAGTAGTAGTAGTAGTAGTAGTAGTAGTAGTAGTAGTAGTAGTAGTAGTAGTAGTAGTAGTAGAAGGATGAGGTGGAGATGAAGTAGAAAGACAAGGACGAGGGCGAGGAGAAAGAGAAGAAGTGTTGTACTAATAATAACATTCAGAATTCAGTGAATGATGAACAGCTGCAAGATTGTTACTATTCTAGAAAGCATGTAATCACACTGTAGGCCGTTGTTTAGAGGGAAAGAAATGTTTTTATTTAGACATGCATTACTAAAGTGAGAAGCAGTGGACAGGCACCACATGCCAGTTACCTGATGTGTTTTCACATCGTGGGCCCATATAACCACGAGGGCATTGACAGTATGGCTGTACTCCCTGGATGTAGCACTGACCGCCATTGCTACATCTGTAGTTCAGGCATGGATCCGCTGAAAATTCAAAGGCAAAGGTAAAGGTGAGAAGATCGACTTTATTGTTTAACACATATGGCTCATTCTCTCTACGACCAACAGCCAGCTGCCTGTCGAGAGCGTCGCACAAAGCACAACCTTTCTAGCTCCAGTGACAATCCCTATGTATCTCCATTAACATTGCACAGTGAACTGAACCCACGACTTTCACGATCAAACGGCTTGACCATTTCGCTACAAAAAAAAAAAAAAATCTGCTAGTATAAACCATTGTGAGACACAACAAATTGCACAACCAATCTTATAGAAATGGGAGTGAGTGTATGTAGTCTGTGTGTGTGCGTTTGTGTGTGTGCCTGTGTGTGCCTGTGCATGCGTGCTGTCCATTAGCAAATCCTCGCTCATGTTTTTCACATACATTTTATATTTACAAGCAAAAAAGAGGACCGTTTTACACATCTTCAGGTGTAGTAGGTAGATCGTGTTAGATCTATATTTGATAGACCAGTCGGCACTTGGTGGATTACGTGGTCAACATCACATCGGTCAACTTTACTCCACAGGACTGTACATGCTAACTATTTAAGGCTGGGTCTAGTGTTAGGGTTAGAAATGTAGTTTGTGTTAAAGTTAGGGTCAGGGTTAGTCAATGTCGTTGAGAAGGTCTGGAGCTGACAAAGATCCCAAGCCTAACACCAATCCCTAAAATATTGGACTTTTCTGGGAACTCCGAGATTTCCTTTGTTTGAGGTGAATTAAAAATAAATACCAAACACACCGATACTCTTTGTGTGCTAGCTAGGTCTAAATCTAAGTCAACGTAACCTTTGAGGTTTGAGGTGTGAACAACGGATTAACATCTGGCACAAAAGTAGTAAACTTTAAGGGCTCCATTCTACTTCCAACTCCCCAGCACAGGCTCCTTAGCACCGGCGAGGATCCTGAAATATTTTGCGTATGTAAATGTAAATGTAAATGCTACCGACGCATTTTAAAAATTAGTTATTTAGAACAAAAAACAAATAAATATGACAGAGAAAAAATATACAAATTTGTGGGACATCAAGAGCCTCTCTTGACAGTGTTGAAACGCCCAACGCCAGCTTGGTTTGGACACGCTGTGAGACATGATTCGATTGCAAAGACTGTACTTCAAGGAACATTGTGGGAGGAAAAAGGGGGGGGGGGGGCAGGGTGGTCGAAGAAGAGAAGGGCAAAGAAGAACATGGAATAACAACATAAAAAAGGGACAGAACTAAGTTATCATACACTTATTCATCAAGCAGAAGACAGAGAAAGATGGCAGGTTTTATGTGCTAGTGCTTCCATCAATACATCTCCACAACCCTAATGGGTCAAGGGTTATGTTATGTTAACTCCAACTTTTGCCCGGGCAGCGCCATTAGGCTACTCTTTTCGATTTCCAGCTGTCAAGGGATTTTTTGTGTGTATCAGATCCAACTACCCAGAGACCAGGACAAATTACTAGAAGTCCACTTGAAAAAATCCCAGCCTTCATTGGGGCCTGAACCCGGGACCTCTAGTACTCGAGGCTGAAACCATCCCTCGAGACCACGCAGCCCCCCTATGCCAACTTAAATTAAAGAATAATGACATTCTAAAGCAATTTGACGGACCCAACAACCATGTTTGCAGACAAGAATACTAAACAATATTCTCTATGGGCACCCTAGATTTCGCCTTAATGTCTTAGATACTTTCTAACCGCTCTTCTAAATCAGTAAAATAGTGAGGCGCTCACCTTGTCTAGTATCGGTATCACAGTAGAGGCCACTAAATCCTTGTGGACATTCACAACGAGCCTGTGTTCCCTGAGATAAACACCGACCTCCGTTATTACATCTGGTGTCCTGGCACGGGTCTAGTACCGCTTTAGCAAGAGAAACAGATGCAAAGCATTACTCTTTTACTAATTAAAAAAAAGAGCATCATCATCGTCGTCATCATCATCGTCGTCATCATCATTGTCATCAGCATTAGCATATTCAGCATCAACGCGTTGTAGCATTTTATCTCGTAGAGTTCAACTCCAATATTCGTTATGAATTTGTTTCTGAGTAATCAATATTAAAACCGACGAATAATAACTACATTGATTTTTTTCAATGGGAGTTTTAAAAAATAGTTTATCCCGTTCCCAGCCCTAATTTCATCCGTCCAGTGTTTAATATCGAAAACAATGTCACTCGAATGTCTGTCTCGGAAATCATTGCAAATAAATTTAAAATACATATTAACCACTGCAAGTTATTATTGCTTCATCAGTATGACAGCCACTACCATTGTAATCGATAAGAAAATCAGTTTGTTGTATTTTGCTGTAAATCTTGATACAGATTCTTGGCTTTTTTTTTTTTTTTTGGCATACTATAGCTTCTGAAACGCAACCGCTAGCCGTTTCTTCTCCATTATCAAAATTAATGCAAGTTTTTCCATATTATTATTATCAAACAGTGAATATTTGTTAAAATCAAGAATTGCCACACTTTGGCAACTTTAGCTGGTTTATTGCATCTCTATTTTCCTCGCAGTCACCGGCTGTTAGCTCCAGCGAAAGATTTCGGTTGTTCACCCACTTCTAGACAGTCTTACTCTAGAACCTGATTTGTGCATGCACATTCGTCTTTCAGATCTTCGAAAGAAACCCCAAGCTAGTCGACTCTTATGACATGCTTGGTAGGGAGGCAGAGGGTCTGTAAATCCCCCCCCCCTCCCGAATACACACGGGAAAAATCATCGTTCGCGACTGAGCCAGCTGATGGGCAGCTAACGGGGAACGAATAATAATTAAAAGTAAGTAAACAAGTAAAGATCCATTTTCACGCTTTTTCTTCGCATCGGGCATATGGGCAGAGCGTCCCATATTTTTACAGACCATCAGCACTCTGTGGGTAATGTGGTCAGCATTACGCCGGCTGTCTTTACTTTCCCAGGACAGCCCATCCTGGTGAATATTAATTACATGGGCAAATATCAAACACAAATGTTAACTGAAAAAAAAGAAGAATTATTAAAAAGAAGACTTCTATTGGCATGGACGAATTTTGAAGTTCCATTGTATATGTATTGTATATGTATTGTTTATGTATTGTATATGTATTGTATATGTATTGTAAATGTATTGTATATGTATTGTATATGTATTGTTTATGTATTGTATATGTATTGTATATGTATTGTATATGTATTGTATATGTATTGTATATGTATTGTATATGTATTGTATATGTATTGTATATGTATTGTATATGTATTGTATATGTATTGCATATGTATTGTATATGTATTGTATATGTATTGTATATATATTGTATATGTATTGTATATGTATTGTATATGACTCGCAGTCTATTGGCGCATTCTGTTCCGTAAAACCAAATAGCTGATGCATTAAAGACCCTTGACCCCCCCCCCACCCCCGCTCTCCCTTTTTCTGAAGCGTAATGAGCATATGGAACTAGACCTATATGTTAGAGACCTATCGCCACTTAGTGAGTGATGTGGTCAACATCATGCCGGCTGCCTTTGCTTCTCAGGAACGGTACCCATTTAAGGCTGGGTCGACCTGGCAGCCAAGGTCATAAAAAAAGTTCGGCTTCTCCACGACTGGAACCCATGACCCTCTGATCCACAGGAGAGCGCTAACCGCTGTACCACAGTGGCTCCTTTAGTGTGCTCAATTAATCAGTCAACTACCGACTCCACAATAAATGTTTTCTGAAAAGTCTCGAACACTCCCTCTTTCCATGTTTAGTCAATTTAGGTATATTTTCTTCTAATTTTCATTGCCATTGACCTCAAGTAGCCTATCTTCAGTTTTTTTCCCACCCACAAGGGTTGCAATACGGTCAAACCTGGCATTTATTGGCTGTGGTGGTTTTTCTTGGCACATTTTACGTTCAGTAATTTGCCACGGTCAGCTCTCTGTCCTACTGTCAAAACCAGCGCAAGACAAATCGTCCCCAGCAGGGATCGAGCCAGGTATCCCAGCTTAGAATGGTTTGTCTTGCATTAGTTTCGACTGTGGTACCAAGAGCTAACCCTTTAGGAAGCAATGGCAAGCTACTGAATGTGAAATTTGCCTAGAAAAATCACAACAGCCAAAAAATGCTGGGGTTAGTTCTGCAACGTCATGTAAAGGATACTCAACTAAACTAGATACATGCTAAGTATGCATAACCAAAACAAATAATTCTAGAACTAACCAGTTCTTGTTTCACAGAATCTTCCCGTGTATCCCTGCAAACATTCACAGTAGGGTTGTGTCCCATAATTTAGACAACGACCTCCATTGAGACAGCGAAAGTTTTGGCAGGAATCTAGGAAGAATCACATTCAATAGATGTCATTTCTGATTATTAAAACATCAAACAATTATGTGATGTCTCGAAAACAATGAACGACCAGAAATGCTCCTACTCTAAATTTCACCAATATGCATATTTTAACGTAAATTTTCAAAATGTTTAACTCATTATCGTGACTGATTTCGAAATGGGTTAATATGTGCGTAGCATCCTTCTAGATAATATGTAATAATCCACATCGTCCCCAGGTGGGAAGCACTTTTTTGATTATTTTGAAGACCCATCCTGGCTTTAGCCGAGGGCCGTCATATTGCCTGACGGCTTAACGCGGTTTCTGTTATCTCTTCCACGGGTGATCCTCATCCGCATGTTGGCACTTTGTGTCACCGGGTGTTTATCGCTCTGTGTGATGTCCTGGTGGCGTAAAATTCATTTACTTTCTTCTCGAAAATGTTTGAATAAAAAAGGAGCTCTTTGTAACGAAGTGGTCAAGCCGATTCCCTCGCACTGTGAAGGTCGTAGGTTCGTTTTACGGTGGCGCCATTCATTCAGTTCACAAGTGCACTTTTAACGGAGGTCCGTGTAGATCGTCGCCAGAGGTCGTGCTCTCTTCGACGCTCTCGGCAGGCAGCAAGCTGTTCTCTGGAGAGGGAGACTGAGCGATATGGGATAAAACCCGGTGCAATCAAGTTAATCCTCTAACCTTTACTATTACTTTAAGAAAAAAGTTTTTTTTTTTTTTTTTTGTCAAGTGAAACAATATACAGTTAATTGCTCCTAACACACTACTGGCATATCGGACACATAATAGGCACTGGGCGGGGGATCTGACCATCACGTCAGCTACCTTTACTTCTCAGGCTTTACTTCTCAGGACATTTCCTGGTAATAATTGTAAGCTTGCTGGACCCGGGAGCCAAGGCATTACAGTACGGATTTCGATATTCTTTCTTGAAAAAAAAAATTGACCAGTTGAGAAGCTTGTTGTAGAAGGCGACTAAGGAGGTATGTTTTCTTCAGAGTCAAAGTCATCTGTCTGAAAGGCAAGGAACCAACAATCTGCAGATAAATAAGGTAGACCTGTAAACTCAAGTTCTGGATCAATAACAAAGTCTCGGGAGTGGACGAGCACCCAAAACCTTTCTCTGAGTTTACAACCTGTGAAGGATAAGAACAAGTAAAAGAAGAGAGAAGCCAAGGTCAATTTAAAACTATGTGTTTAAACTTGACATAGGCTAGATTAGGTTTTCATTGCGAAAATGTTAAGCCTTTTGACAAAGCTATTCTAAGGTTGTGAGTGTTCAGTTTTGGAATATGACATTCGATTCGCAAATACAACCTTTTAAGAGATCCAAATGTAAGGTCTCTGCAATTACAGGATTTCGTATTTTTATCGTATTCACTCGATCTGAGAATAGAAACTAAGCCATGTGTCTCAAACTACGATAATCTTACTTATTTGATAGTACATAGTGTCTTCCTGGTTAAATTTACCACACATAGTGTAGGTATTACATAAGAAATGCTGATACCTTCGGAATAAGGATGGGCATTCCTGCATAATGTAAACAAAAAAAAAGATCATGTGGTTAATCTAAGACTTTTAATGAGATGTATAATTTAACAATGGAAAGTGTGATTTACGTATTTCAGTTAGGTGGGAAAGTCGGCACAGAACCAATTCTGGATTACATACGAAGACAGCAAGTGAAATGGTTTGCCAACTTAGAGAGAATGCCTTGTGACACCATACCATACAAAGCACACATGGAAAGAGAAGAAGGACGTAGAGCAAGAAGTAGACCAAGAACAAAATGGAAGGATAACATCAGAGAAACTCTACAACAGCACGATGTGCCTATGGTCTATGCGACCAGAAGAGCTAGAAACAGAACCTTATATCTCCCTCGACACCCACAGCGGTAAAAGAGGAAGTGAAGAAGTAGTTAGGGGGGAACCCCCCCCCCCCCCACCAATTTGTATTCTTTTTCCAAGCCTTTAGGCGTATAGGGTATATAGGGCTAGACCACGGCCTTCTCTATTTATTAGAGAAGGCAGTGGCTAGACCTATATTTTTATAGACCTATCGGCACAAGATGGGTGATGTGATCAGCAACACGCCGGCCGCCTTTACTTCCCGGGACTGCACCTGGTACCCACTCAAGGCTGGGTCGACCTGGGAGCAAAAGTAATTTTTGAAAAAGCCCGGCTCCGTCAGAGAGGGAACCCACGACCTTCCGATCCGCGGCGAACGTGTAGCCGCTCGGCCAAGGCGACTACCAAAATATTATGGTCACTCTAATATTTGTCAAAATTGCAAGACAATGCCTACTGTAAGGAACAGATTCTGACCTTCTTTTCACTTTGAACATTATTTTGGCTATTCATTGTAACTTTTGTCTAAAAAAATTGTTTGAACGGGGAGTTCTTTTAAATACAGGTATTACAGTAAATTAAAAGCTATCATGTTAGAACGGGTCTAATTACGCTTGGTAGCAAAGGAAGAAGATGATGATTGTGACGATTCCTTTAAACTAATACACTAAAAAAAAAAAAAAAATAAGAAAAGCTCTGATCAACACTGAAATTGAAAAAGAAAATACATTTGCTCAACCTATTACATCAGCCAACATACCTACAACAGATTCGCAAGCTGTCCCCGTGAATCCTTGCGGACACTCACAATAAGGCTGACTACCTCGAAGCAAACAGCGCCCACCGTTGTTACATCTCAAGGTCTGGCATGATTCTAAGACAAGTAAAACAGACAAACTAAGAAATCAAGTGAAACAGACAGAGAAACAGGCAAGTGAAACAGACAAGAGAACCCGACAAACTAAGAAGACAAGAGAAACAGAAACAGGCAAGAGAAACAGAAAGAGAAACAGGCAAGAGAACCAGACAAACTAAGAAGACAAGAGAAACAGAAAGAGAAACAGGCAAGAGAAACAGAAAGAGAAACAGGCAAGAGAAACAGAAAGAGAAACAGGCAAGAGAACCCGACAAACTAAGAAGACAAGAGAAACAGAAAGAGAAACAGGCAAGAGAAACAGAAAGAGAAACAGGCAAGAGAAACAGACAAGAGAACCCAACAAACTAAGAAGACAAGAGAAACACAAAGAGAAACAGGCAAGAGAACCCGACAAACTAAGAAGACAAGAGCAACAGAAAGAGAAACAGGCAAGAGAAACAGAAAGAGAAACAGGCAAGAGAAACAGAAAGAGAAACAGGCAAGAGAACCCGACAAACTAAGAAGACAAGAGAAACAGGCAAGAGAAACAGAAAGAGAAACAGGCAAGAGAAACAGACAAGAGAACCCGACAAACTAAGAAGACAAGAGAAACAGAAAGAGAAACAGGCAAGAGAAACAGAAAGAGAAACAGGCAAGAGAACGCGACAAACTAAGAAGACAAGAGAAACAGAAAGAGAAACAGGCAAGAGAAACAGACAGAGAAACAGGCAAGAGAACCCGACAAACTAAGAAGACAAGAGAAACAGGCAAGAGAAACAGACAAGAGAACCCGACAAACTAAGAAGACAAGAGAAACAGGCAAGAGAACCCGACAAACTAAGAAGACAAGAGAAACAGAAAGAGAAACAGGCAATAGAATCATACAAGAGGAACAGACGGGTCATTCATTAATATGGATCCTGGCGAAGTGATCAAACTGCTTGCCTCGTACTTTGAAGTAGGTTTCAGTGTCTGATTCTGTCATTTGGTTCTTCAATGGTAGCATTTCGGGAAGCTGTAGTTATCGCCGCTGGTACTACAGAATTGGGTTCTTTTTTCCACGGTTTTGGCTTACAAACAGCAGCTTTGTCTAGGAAAGCCGGTCAATGTATTGCCTTTAAAATTTCGTTTTTGTTGTTAAGATCTTCACGGAAAAGCTGTCACAACAAGAACCATCAGATCATCAGAGGTTCCCCCCTCAGGACTTTTCCCAGCTATTTACTTTATGACACTATGTGGGAACGGATCCCCAGTGATGCTTAGTATTTTTTATCCTGATGTACCTGTTTATTCTTTCCTCATAATCATTATCGTCATCATCATCATCATAATCCTCTTACGTCAGGTGTCGTTATGTTACCAGTTGCTGTTCCTTTTAACTTCTGTCGCGGTAATGCAGTTTCCACGATTTTGCATATTTGGCCTCAGTTCAATCAGCCACATTCTGTATCGTGATCGGGCCTAAACTGCCTTTCCCCCTAAGTGCTGAGTGTCGACTACATTCGGTAGCCACTCCCCGCTGAACAATTTGTCTTCAGATCGTGATGCTTTTTCATACATCTCTGCACTGTTCACTCGTTCTCAAATGGCCTTGAAAATATCTAGTTTATCAGACATCAGTTTGCCATCACGTGTTGCAAAAATAGACAATCTGCCTTTCAGTTTCCAAACAGTTCTTGAGGAAATTTCCAAAGGATAACAGAGCGAGACCCTTGAAGAGACGCTTGTCTGAACAAGCAATGAAGTTTAAGGCTGACAAACAGCTTACCCAGTCTAGTGTCACAGTATTGACCAGTGAATCCTTGCTGGCATTCACAGTATGGCTCTGTACCCCGAGATAAGCAACGTCCGTTGATGCATCGAACATTCAGGCAGGGATCTAAGAGTTAAAATAGGGTAATATTATCTCAGATTTAAAAAAGAAAGAAAGAAAGAAAACATTATCATACAAAGCGCACATGTTTAGAGTGCAACCGTTTTAACAGTGGGATTAAATAATATTAAAAATAATAATTATTATTATCATAATTTAAAAAACACACACACACAGACACATTAGGAAAAAGAATCTACCCACCTATTCTAGTATCACATAATTGGCCAGTAAATCCTTGCTGGCATTCACAGTACGGGACTGTACCCCGAGATAGGCAGCGTCCATTGGCACATCGAACGGTCTGGCAAGGATCTGAGACTTAACACATAGCAATTTTATAAAACGAATAAGAAGACATTTACGTACACAAGTGACGGCAAACATTTTTACTGTACTTATATAATATATTAACAATAATAATACAAGCTTACATTTTTTAAGACGAGGGGATCGACTACACTAATAGGGATATTTTTATAGGTTATGGTCTCAACTGCAGACCCGGTCTTTTTTAGCAAGGAGCCCTATAAACATCTGTTTAGAAAGACATTTATATGTGAACGCCGCAGCCATAGAAACTAAACCACCCAAAGCCACAGTCTCTCGATAATAATAAGAAATAAGAAATTATAAATAAGACTCACGCACAATTCATCACAAAGAAAACATGTTAGGACTAAATACCTATTCTAGTGTCGCAGAATTGGCCAGTAAACCCTTGCTGGCATTCACAGTATGGATCTGTACCCCGAGATAAGCATCGTCCATTGATACATCGAACATTTTGGCAGGGATCTGAAAGGGAACATAAGTTAATAATATCACAGATTTGATAAGATACTTTCATATACACATAAAGTTTGCCTACTTTTTAGTTTGTATTTTTTCTAAAATATTCAAAAGAACCATATTCATAAACACATTTAAGTGGGGTTAAGAAACATCCTACCTTTCCTTCTTTCTTTTTCTTTTGTCAAAATCTGCTTGTGCCGCTAGGCGTCGCAGTCTATCAGATGATCGGCAACCGAGCCAGGGCGCGCTCAGTCGCTTCATATGCCGTGATGTTATGAAGTCTCAAGTTGTCCGTGACTCCTTCAATCCATCTTCTTCTTGGTCTTCCCCTGCCTCTTGTTGTTTCGATTTTCTTGTTGTATGCTCTTGATGCTGGCATCGTTGGTTCCATTCTCATTAGGTGACCAAACCATTTCATTCTTTGCTTCTCAAAAAATTTAACGATGGGTATGGTTCCAATAGTTCTTGTAATCACATCGTTTCTCACTCGATCTCTTCTGGTTTTATTCGCAGCCATTCTCAAACATCTCATTTCACAGGTGGTTAGTCTTCTCTCATGTTCTTTTGTTAATGTCCAAGTCTGACATTGATAACCTAATGTCGGTATAAAGATTGTATTTATAATTTGTCTTTTTATCTCAGCTGGGACAGCAGGGTGTTTTAAAATTGGGGCAAGCTGGTATGCGACATTGTTGGCTTGTTGGATTCTTGCTTCAATCTCTCTGTCTATTTTACCATTGGATGTAAAGATACTTCCCAGGTATTTAAATTCTTGCACTTGTTTTAGGCTGTGATCTAGAATCTTTATGTCGATGGTCTGTTGCTCTCTACTTATGCTCATGACTTCTGTCTTTTCAGTATTGATCTTCATATGATGCTTGAGGCAACTGTCGTGTAGTAGGTTCATGTGGTCTTGCAGCTGTTTACTATCACTGTGAAATATGCATTGATCGTCGGCAAAGAGCAGCTCATTGAAGTCCTCCTGTTTATCGACATCTGTTGGTGTTATGTCTATTTATTAATATTGTCCATAAATATTATGAAAAGTAAAGGTGATAATACACAACCTTGTCTTACTCCTGATGTTACTGGGAACCAGTCTGTGATGCCAGCTCTTGTTCTAATGGCGCTTTCACTTTGTCTATAAATAGCCCTAACACAATCTAAAATTGTTCCATTTATACCGTAGTTTTCAAGAACTTTCCATAATAAATTTCTGTTTACTCTATCGAAAGCTTTTTCTTGATCTATGAAAGCGATGTTCATTTAATGTCTGTGTTCTATTGTCTTTTCGCTAACTTGTCTTAAAGCAAAAATAGCGTCAGTACACCCTCTTCCTTTCCTAAATCCGACCTGTGATGGGCTCAGGATCGGTTCTACAACGGATCTAATTCGTTGTTCCAGAATTTTGGCAAACATTTTTCCTACGTGGCTTAGAAGGGAGATGCCTCTGTAATTGTTACAATCTTGCTTATTGCCTTTTCTTTTCCAAATTGGGACTATAAGAGCTCTTTGCCAGTCTATTGGTACAGTTCTTTCATTCCAGGCTTTCCTAAATATGTGGAGTAGCCAGGTGACTCCAATTTCTCCACAAGCCTGTATTGCCTCGGCTGATATTCCATCAACACCTTATCCTACCTTTCCTAGTAGAACATAATTGGTCAGAAAATCCTTTGCTGGCATTTACAGTATGTGTCCATAACTCGAGATAAGCATCGCCTTTTCATACATCGAACATAATGGCAAGGATATTATTAGTATCCAAATGCGCAGATGTTTTAATCAACTATTTGAGTCAACAGGGAGAGTTTGTGAAGTTTCTAATAATATTAGTGGGAACAGTATGAATACAAGTTCACATTTTTCAAAAGCAAAGTCATTTTTTTTATTGTATCTGGTTTTATCTTATGTGGCATGATCTCAGCCATACAATTATTAGCCGCCTGACACGAGCGTCGCACAAAGCACACACTCCATAGCTCTACCAGTGAGTCACAGAAATGTCCATATGGAGGATGAACGATAATTGTGGTAACAAAAAATTAGCTTACTTGATGTTTAAGTTTCTATTGAAGGTTTTTTTCCAATTATTATTAAAAGACAACGAAGTAGGTTATGTAATCCAGAGTTAGGCTACATATTATTATTCACACCACACACGCACGCACACACACCACCACACACACACATAGACATACATATACACACATAAACGCTTAGAGTACGTTTAGCAAAATAATATGTTTCCATTCTATGAGAAGATTTAAAATATTATCAAATGCGTTGAGATTAAATGTGCTGAGTTGGGAATCAAAATAAACAGAATTCAAGGCATTTCAATAAGCACATCGTTCCGATTTTCAGAAGCCAGTACAGCGCTTCAATTCCGATCATATCAGGAGCAGTTTGATTGTATATTCATCTTAGCCCTGTTCTGAGTGTTAAGTAAAAAAGTGTTATATTATATAAGTGTTATAAAAAAATGAAAGCAATATAGTATAAGGCTATACAATAACTTACCTATTCTAGTATCACATAATTGACCAGTAAATCCTTGTTGGCATTCACAATACGGGACTGTATCACGAGATAAGCACCGCCCATTGACACATCGAACATTTTGACAGGGATCTAGAAATTAACATACGGTAATATTGTCCAAGTTGTAAAATTTATATTTATATACAAAGCAAAAGAGCGTACATTTTTAGTGAACAATTGTTTTCACAAAACCTTAAAAAAAAAAGCAGGATAAATTAAGAAAACGAAACATCCTACCAATTCTAGTATCACAAAACTGTCCAGTAAACCCTTGTGGGCATTCACAGTACGGGACTGTACCCCGAGATAGGCAGCGACCATTGGCACATCTAACTGTCTGGCAAGGATCTGAAAAGTAACATTTGTAGAGTTATCAGAGAAATGAGATCTTTACACATACACAAAGTGACTGCGAACATTTCTAGTGTGATTCAGTAAAATAAGGATTCCGAAATAATAATCAGACAAAATAAATAACAAAAATACATATACAATATAATCACAAGGAATACGTTTAAGGCAATACATACCTATTCTTGTGTCGCAGAACTGCCCAGTAAATCCTTGCTGGCATTCACAGTATGGAACCGTACCCCGAGATAAACACTGTCCATTGATGCATCGAACATTTTGGCAGGGATCTGAAAATAAATTTACGGATATATTAATCAGGTTTTAAAATAATGTTCAGTACATAGCAAAATGTAAATGAATGCAATCATTCTAAAAACACGGGGGAAAAAGGAAGGGGGGGGGGGGGAGGATAAAAAAATATAAACTGAGAAAACGAAACAACCTACCAATTCTAGTTTCACATAACTGTCCAGTAAACCCTTGTGGGCATTCACAGTACGGGACTGTACCCCGAGATAGGCAGAGACCATTGGCACATCGAACGGTCTGGCAAGGATCTGAGAAGTAACATATTGTAGCGCTATCAAAGATATTAGAAGATCTTCACATTCACACAAAGTGACTGCAAGCATTTGTAATGTCATTCAGTAAAATAGAGATTCTCTTAAAAATAATAAGACACAAGAAAAAACAAAAAAATCATATACAACATAATCACAAGGCATAGGTTTAAGGCAATACATGACCGGCTCACTCGCTCTACCAGCGAGCCAAATAAATTTCCACATTGTGGTTGCATGATAATTGTGGTAAGTTAAATATGCCGACATGATAATTAACTTTATATTCAAGTTTTATTGTATTTTAATGAAAGACAACGAAGTAAGTTACATAATGCCGAGTTAGGCAAGACAATAATATTCACACACACGCACACATACACACCTACACACACATACATGCATACATATACACACACAAACGCTTACTGTACGTTATATGTTTCGATTATATGAGAAGACTTAAAATATTATCAAATGCGTTGAGATTAAATGTGCTCAGTTAAGAATCAATTTCACATAATTCAGGGCATTCCAATAAGCACACCGTTCCCATTTCAAAAGCCAGCACAGCCCTCCAATTCAGATTATACCAGTAGCAGTTTGATTGTATATCCATCTTAGCCTTCCCCTGAGTGTTGATTGTTGACCACAACCAGATTCCCTCGTCGCACCCCATTGAACCATTCTCTTCAGACCGAGATGCTTCATGTCTGCCTCTCTTTTGTTCACTCGTTCCTAACGGGCTATTACAACATTTGGCTTATCAAGCATGAATGTACTGTAATGTGGGGAAAAACTAGCCAGTCTGCTCGGCGTATTCGTTTCCTAACACATCCTGAGAAAGTACTCAGATAATTTCAGCCTAGAAACTCCGAAGGTGCTTGCTCTAAAAAAAAGAAACAAGCAATATAGTATAAGGCTATGAAATAACTTACCTATTCTAGTATCACATAATTGACCAGTAAACCCTTGTTGGCATTCACAATACGGGACTGTACCCCGAGATAAGCACCGTCCATTGACACATCGAACATTTTGACAGGGATCTAGAAATTAACATACGGTAACATTGTCCAAGTTGTAAAATTATTGTTCATATACAAAGCAAAAGATGCGTGCATTTTAAATGAACAATCGTTTTAACAAAAAATACTTTAAAAAAAAAAAACACAGTAAAAAAAAATCTTTGGGAAAAAAGAAACATCCTACCAATTCCAGTATCACAAAATTGGCCAGTAAACCCTTGTTGGCATTCACAGTAGGGGACTGTACCCCGAGATAGGCAGCGTCCATTGGCACATCTGACGGTCAGGCACGGATCTGAGGAGTAACGCATTGTTGTGTTATCAAAGAAATCAGAAGATCTCCACATACACACAAAGTGACAGTAAGCATTTCTAGTGTCATTCAGTATAATAGGGATTCTCCAAAAAATAATTAGACACAAGAAATAACAATAAATCATATACAACATAATCACAAGGAATACGTTTAAAGCAATACATGCCCGGCTCGATAGCGTAGTTGGCTAAACCTAACTTCGCGACGACCAGATGACGAACTCCTTGTGGTCCGGGTTCACGCCTGGGGGTAGGCAGAAAAGCCACTTGTCTCCCAGATTTACGGTTTTTGTCACGGAATCGAGGCCGAAGGGTTGCGATATCCATAGTACTGAGACAAAGGGTTAAGAACTCATGGTTTCTGGATGTGAAAAAAAAAAAAAAGGCAATACATACCTATTCTTGTGTCGCAGAATTGGCCAGTAAACCCTTGCTGGCATTCACAGTATGGATCTGTTCCCCGAGATAAGCACTGTCCATTGATACATCGAACATTTTGGCAGGGATCTGAAAATAAACATATGGTTATATTAAGCATTTTCGGTCAAAATGGACGCTAGGCAGGGGCACTGTTCGAAGCCGAGGCAAATATTTTTGCATTCTGCCGGACTTTGGCCGATGCATTTTTGCTCCATTTGTAGACTGGATATAGTTTCGTCGCCCAGCTTCTGAGTTGAATGCATGACGTGACACTGTGAGCTGCGGATTTCATTTGGAATGTTTTTTTCGACTGTGACCAACATGGTGGTGTGAATTGTAGATTCAGAAAATGGCGCGATGGTGGTGGTGCCCGTATGTGATTAAAATTGATCGCGTGGGCAACTGCAATCTGTTGGTGACTTCTGCTACCATCAATAATGAACTACATTTCTAATGTCGGACTGTTTGTGTTAGCACTTCATATGGCCACTGTATGCTTTAATGCGAGTGTATGCTAGATATGCTGAGACAGCAGTCTGTCAATCTTTCCACAAGGGACTGTGATAAACATTCTGTGTGTTTTTCTTTGGCACAGGAGCAGAGCAGAGATGGGATGACCCGTTTGCTATAAAGCTGAAACTAAAACTACCAGACTAGATATTAATCAGGTTTCAAAATAATATTTCGTGCATAGCAAAAAGGGAATCAATTTTAAGTGTGCAACCGTTCTAAAAAATACGGGGGGGGGGGGGGATATATCAATAAAAAATATAAACTGCGAAAACAAAACATCCTACCAATTCTAGTATCACATAATTGTCCAGTAAACCCTTGTTGGCATTCACAGTACGGGACTGTACCCCGAGATAGGCAGCGACCATTGGCACATCTAACTGTCTGGCAAGGATCTGAGGAGTAACATTTGTAGAGTTATCAGAGAGATGAGATCTTTACACATACACAAAGTGACTGCGAACATTTCTAGTGTGATTCAGTAAAATAAGGATTACAAAATAATAATCAGACAAAATACATACATAATACACGGAATACGTTTAAAGCAATGCATACCTATTCTAGCATCGCAGAACTGCCCAGTAAATCCTTGCTGGCATTCACAGTAGGGATCTGTACCCCGAGATAAGCATCGCCCATTGATACATCGAACAGTCTGACAGGGATCTAAAAGGTGACATACGTTAGTATTATCAGAATTTGACAAGTTTTTAGATCCAGTGTCGCATTCGTTCAGTCGGTTCTTGAGTATTAGTAATTCGAGGAGCTGTGGGTATCGTAGTTTTTTACGCATTTAGACTTTTTGTTTGTATATAGGGCTAGACCAAACCTGTTGGGAGTGAGTTAAATAATGAATTCACTCACAAGTAATTGATTTCCATGAATAGAGAAGCCTTTTTTTTTCACGGCCAAACTACCGCTTCATTTGGCAGATGGAATCCTTCCCGCTTCTGGCTTCGGGAGAGTTTGAAATCTTAGCGTCACTGGAGACTGAAGTCAACATGCACTAACGCTTTTTCTGTCAGCTTACATATAAATCAGTTTGGGAGGGGCAGATCCCGCTTGACAGTCGTAGGTAAACAACACAGATTTGGTTGTAGGGAAATTGTCGTTTTTATTATATATTACCCCAACTAGATAAATATTTCATGATCCATTGTTTGCCTGTATTCGTTAGGCAGTGATGAACTTGATCAGTGAGTTTATGTGAGGTCTGTAGTCATTCCTGACTACCATATTATTTGTGTCAGATTATACTATCAGTCATTGGTCTGTTTCAGTTTCTGAGATTTCTTATATTGTTGAAACTGATAACATCATGCATTGTTATACAGAATTTACTTTTGTTGGTGTCTGGTATTTCTCAGTTCACTTTAGTTAAGTATCTGTATGTATTAGTATTATATCAGATTTCTGTTGAATTGGTTAGTCTAAAATGTATATACAACACACTGAAGAAGATTGGGTGTCCATCTACCCTACTGAGCATTATTGAGTCGTTCCACACAGGTATGAAAGGTACAATCAACTTCGAGGGTGTATTATCGGAAGAGTTTGTAATCAACAATTGAGTGAAGCAGGAATGTGTACTGGCTCCTACCATCTTTGTAATGCACTTGTCACTTTTTTTAGAAACACACCTTTCGAGGTCAGGAGGGTGGAATATTCATCCATTCTAGATCTAATGGTAGCCTTTACAATGCTCGCAGGCTGAAGGCCAAAACCAGGATATAAAAAGAACTTATCAGAGATCTGCTGTTTGCAGATGATGCCGCAATATCCACCCACTCAAAGGAGGAGCTGCAATGTTTAGTATGTGCGTTTGCCTGATGATGAAGACAAAGGTTATGGTGTCAGGTGGTAATGATAGACCTACAGTCTTCGTTGACGGTGAAGAGCTGGAGACAGTACACCATTTTACCTATATGGGTTCCACGGTGATAACACACTATCGCTAGACCAAGAAATAGACATAAGGATAGGTAAGGCAGCAACAACAATGAGTAGATTGACAAAAAGAGTTTGGGAGAACAGAAAGGTCACAATTAAAACAAAAACTCTTGTCTATCAGGCTTGTGTTCTCAGCACTCTTCTTTATGGCGGTGAAACCAGGTCAACTTATTTGCACCAGAAGAGACAGCTACATAGCTTTCACATGCGATATATAAGAAGAATATTTGGCATTAAGTGACAGGACAAAATCATAAACACTGAGGTACTGGAAAGAGCAGGTATTAGAACAATCTTCTCAATGCTTAGTCTACGAATGCTCAGGTGGCTGGGTCACACCTGGAGAATGAAGGATAGCAGAGTCTCTAAGGACATCCTTAATGGTGAATTAAAGACGGGTAGAAGATGTCGAGGCCGACTTCTACTACTGTATAAAGATGTGTGCAAGCGGGACATGAATGTTACAGGTATTGAAGTAAACTCATAGAAACAAAATAACATGGGCCGTGTTTTGTGGAGAGGGCATATCAAGAAGGGAATAAGAGTAAAGAGAGAAGTGATCGTGGAAAAGACGAGAGCTGAACGTCTGAGAAGAAACAGACTAAACACAAATTTTGACAACAATGGTTCTGAAATCCCATGCTATCATTATGGAAGACTTTTCTTGACAAGAGAGGGTCTTGCTTGTCACACTCGGCATCGCCATGGACTGTGAGTCCCATGCCTCCTCATATTGCAATATAACACTATCATATGGAAAGACGGAAAGGTGCTAATCAATCAGTCAATAATAACTTTCGCATACAGTGCAAAGTTTGTGTACACTTTTAGTGTGCAACCAATATAACACGAAGATTTGAAATATTGAAAGCTAAACTTGGAAAATGAAACCACCTACCCATTCTAGTATCACATAATTGACCAGTAAACCCTTGTTGACATTCACAGTACGGGACTGTACCCTGAGATAGACAGCGTCCATTGGCACATCGAACAGTCTGGCAGGGATCTGGGAGGTTACATATTGTAATACTATTAAATAAATTGAGAATAGTTTTACGTATACAAGTTATTGTAAACATTTTTTTGTATGATTATATGTTAGCAATAATAATTACAGTTTAAATGTTTAAAGACGATAGGATTGACCTTAGTCCTTGGGGCTTTCCCATCTGTCATGGCCTCCACCACAAATCGGGTAAGCAAAAGCGTTGCACAAAGGATGGATCCTGTGGCTCCAATAAATAACTGTTTAGAAATGTACTTAAGTGAACGATGCAGTTCTGAAACCGAAACCACGACCGTTGAAGCCCACGGTAGACATCTTAACTACTTAGCAATGGAGTCTTCTGATAATTAAAAAGTAGTCAACATAACAAAAAGAGACCATAAAAAAATTGCAGATTATTATTTAAATCGTGGGAATTAAACCTGCAATTAGATTTATTAGAAACCAAAGACTGAAATAGTTTGGCCACTTAAAATAAACCGGTTACAAAAGCATACAACATAAGAAAATAAATATCAAAATGTTGAAGAAGGCTAAGAAAAACATGGATAGAGAGAGGTAAAAAAAAAAAATCGCTGAAACTTATCAATAACAGCACGCAGCAAGCTAACGAGGGCACACTATCTCGCAAAACGATCATTTTCGTGCCTGCTAGGCCTCACATCACTAAGCAGAGAAAGACAACAGACAGAAAGAAATTACAATTTAAGAAACAATTAGAACGAATACATTTAAGGAACCACATACCTATTCTAGTGTCACAGTATTGGCCAGTAAATCCTTGCTGGCATTCACAGTATGGATCTGTACCCCGAGATAAGCATCGCCCATTGATACATCGAACATTCAGGCAAGGATCTAAAAGGCAGCATACGTTAATATTATCCAAACAAAATTGACAAAATACTGTTGTATACTAAACTAATTTTGCGTACTTGTTTTTTTTTTTTTTTCAATTATTAAAGTTTGCATTCATTCTTACAATAAGACTGAATATATTAATAACTAGAGATAAGGCAGAGTTAAGAAATCATCTATCTATTCTAGCATCACATAAACTGCATGTAAACTCTTGTTGTTATGACCCTGCTTTGCATGGTCTCTTTAGTCACAGCAAGTCGAACTCAAAAACCGTGCAGTAAACAACCGCACGAAATATTTAGGGCTGGAAATGTAAGCTAGACAAAGCCCGAGGTTGGTTCGTGGTAAGTTGTACACTAGAAATCAAGGAAGACAGTTGTCGTATTTGAAGATGTAGTTTCAATGTCCAGTGAATGACTAGTGTTGTCATATTGTAGAAGCGAACAGTGATAAATGTGTCTGAATAATTGTCGGTGTACTTTGAAAGAATTAGACAGAATAAAACTAACAGAATGTATAAAGAAAACAGAGCCGTTGTGTGTTGTTTATCTTAGACAGTAGAGGCAGTGCAAGTAGCAACGTGCAAGCTTCAAAGTAGATACCTGATGTAGTTTTGTTACACTGGTTGGTTTTTACAGTATGGGCCTGTACCCAGAGATAAACAACGTCCCTTGGTATATTAAACATTTTCGCAAGGATATAAGATACATGATGATGATTATTATTATTATCCAACAAAACTGAGAAGATGTTTGGCTAAGTAGAAACGAATTTGAGAAGTTTTTAAATGTGGCTCTGGGGTAACAATGAGAATACAAGTTCGTATTTTTGAAGGCGAAAAGGCGTACTTTATTGCATTGGGTTCGACCCATATGGCACGACCTCAACAATATAACTTTTAACTACGTGTCGAGCGTTGCACAAAGCACCAACTCCATGGCTTCAGCAATGACTCTCAGCGATTTCCAAATAGAAATTGTGTGAAGATAAAGGTTTCAGACGGGTGGTTTAACTTTATCTCGTCGGGATTTTTTTTTTTTTAAATTAAGAGATTAAAGATAGTGAGTAATATATTCTAGAGTTTATCAGTTCTCTTTATGCTTAGTGGCAAATGAGGCTTTAGAGAGGACTTTCCATGCTTTCCTGTCCTGTGCAATCTTCTGTGCAGTTTTCCATGTCAAAGATGCCGCCCTCAGGTCACTTTCCATCGTTCGTCTCTGTGTTGTTTTTGGGAGCCCCTGTTTTCTCTTTTCCTCTGGTGTCCATGTGAGAGCTGTTTTGGCGGGTGTATCAGGATTTATTCTCATAACATGGCCAAGCCATATTCTAGAGTTCGAAAAGACATTAATATTCACAACATAACGTATAGGAAGTTTAGTAAAGTAACATACTTCTGACAAACGCTGAGATTAAATGAGTTTTGTTAAAAACCAATCTTATAGCATCCAGGACATCTATATTAGCATTCCATTTATTTATATCTTCAGAAGCCAGCGCAGATGACCCATTCTCTCAGGGCTCTGATGTAATATATCAGATCCCTAGCTGTTCACTCGCTAAAAAAAAAATCCTTGAAATCGTATAGCTTATCATGCACCAGTTTACCACATTGTGGTCCAGAATTAGCAAGTCTGCATGTTCGTTTTTAAACACAACTTGAAAAAATATCTAAAGGATAACAACCGAGGACCACTGAAGTGATGCTTGATGCTTGAAACAAAAAAGTAGTTTAAAGCTATGAAACAAGTTACCTATTCTAGTGTCACACAATTGACCAGTAAACCCTTGTTGGCATTCACAGTATGGATCTGTGCCCCGAAATAAGCACCGTCCATTGGCACATCGAACATTCTGACAGGGATCTGCGAGTTAACATACGGTAATATTATACAGGCTGTAACAATAACTTTCGCATAGATAGCAAAATGTGTTTATATTTTTAGTTTGTAACCATTCAAAAAAAAAAAAAAAAAAAAAAAAAAAAAACAACAAATTAACCAAAACAAAATAAACTTGGGGGAATTAAAATTACCTACCTATTCTAGTATCACACAATTGGCCAGTAAACCCTTGTTGGCATTCACAATACGGAATTGTACCCCGAGATAGGCATCGACCATTGGCACATCGGACATTTTGACAGGGATCTGGGATGTAATATTTATTAATGTTAAAATAATGAGAACATATTTACGTATACACAAAAATAGTTTCAAACTTTTTAAAGTGGGATTTGTGTCAACAATTAAAAAAAAAAAAAAAAACAAGTTAATACTTTTCACGACGAGATGATATACCTCATTCATCATCAGTCGGCAAGTCCTTTACAAATTGCCCCTTTCGTCTCGGTACGCCTGAAATATTTTTCTAGCATGTTTTCCACCCCTCTGTGCTTGAATCGCCGATGCACCTTTAATGCATTTTATCCAAATTCGTTGAGGTCTACCTCTGCTTCGTTTTTCCAAAGTCCTAAAAGATCGTTTTCTTCAGGCCTAAATGAAGTTTTGCATTGTTGAAATACATAAACTATCCGAACAGGATGCTGATTGTGAGCCAATTCTCCATGACGCTCAGACCATGTATGATTTAGGGGTTGTCTTCTTCGTGGTCCATGGTATCCTATGAAATTATCTGTAGCATTTCAGTTCAGTTAAAACATTTTGATTTTCTTCTTTTTCAATGGTTGGATAAGATTCTATGTCCTACAACTAAAAGTTGCTACCGGAAAGATGCAAGCTCTCAAAATATTTAGAAGAGGCCTCATTATATCGAGTTTATCCTGTACAGAACGGTTTTAACAGCAAATATGTTTACACTCCCTACTCAGCAAATTGCCCTATAAAATTCTATTTGGAAATGCACTCATAATAACACCAAAACCACAATCTTTATAGCACAAGATAGATATCTAAACAACTGAGCCGCATAATTTCTCCACAATAATGAGAAAATAGATACTTGTAAGTAAGTATCTATATATATATATATATATATATATATATGTATATATATATATGTGTGTGTGTGTGTGTGTATAGTCTTCACAAGTATACTTTTAATGAAAGACATACCTAATATAGTCTCACATAACTGACCAGTAAACCCTTGTTGACATTCACAGTAGGGAACTGTACCCCGAGATAAGCACCGTCCATTGATACATTGAATATTTTGGCAGGGATCTGAAAGGCAACATACGGTAATAATATCAAACGTTTAACAACGTATTCTGGTATGCAAAACAGTTTGCATACTTCTTTTTAGGTTGCCACCAATTTAACAGTAAGAATAAACATATTTATAAATATAAAGTGGGGTTAAGAAATTATATATATGAAGATTAACGTAGACAAAACAGAAGTGATGACATTCTCCAAAAAAGGAAGAGCCACCAATATCAAAATTGGTGAACACCGGTTAAATCAAGCAATGAATTTTACATATATGGGGAGGATTTTTTTTTTTCAGAAGACGAAAAATTAATAAAGAAATCCACGAAAGATGCAATAAAGCCTGTACAGTTTTAGGCCAAATGGCACCAATTTTGAAATGCAAATGTGTGTATATGAACACTAAAAGAACACTTTTCAACAGAATATTCTCACCAACGCTATGCTGTCAATGTCAGACATAGCCACTGTCTTCAGAAGATAGAAGGATAATAGTCACGGCGGAAATGAAATGTTTACGTACCATGCTAGGTGTAACGAGGAAAGATTGACTTAAGAACGATAACAGGAAGAGGGTCGGTACAGAACCAACATTGAACTTTATAGATAGACAACAAATCAAATGGTTTGGCCATGTAACAAGACTGGCATCAGACAGGGCACGACAGAAAGCAATTTCATACCGATACAGCGGTAACATAGCTAGAGGTCGACCGCGCTGAACATGGACAGCTGAAAAATCAGAGATACTGAAATGTACTTTATACGAAGCTAACAGAAGGCCCGTTCCAAAGATCTTCTCCTGCCCTGACGCTGCCAGGCATTTCATGAGTAGAGGAAAGAAGAAGCATTTTATGAGTAGAGGAAAGAAGAAGAAGAAGAAGAAGAAGAAGAAGAAGAAGAAGAAGAAGAAGAAGAAGAAGAAGAAGAAGAAGAAGAAGAAGAAGAAGAAGAAGAAGAAGAAGAAGAGAAGGAAGAAGAATAATAATAATATAATAATAATAATAATAATAATAATAATAATAATAATAATAATAATAATAATAAGAAGAAGAAGAAGAAGAAGAAGAAGAAGAAGAAGAAGAAGAAGAAGAAGAAGAAGAAGAAGAAGAAGAAGAAGAAGAAGAGGAAGAAATTATCTACTCTATTTTTAAAAAATGTCAGTAGACCCTTACTAGTAGTTACATGAAAAGTCTGTACACCGAAGTAAGCAATGTCCATTGGTACATTAAATATTTTTGGAATCACTGGGTAAGAAAGTGGAAAGAGAGCTGGCGAGAGTTCCCTTCAGGCAGACTGTGATGTCAACGACGATATGCGAAAACCTGCTATGTGATGGTGATTATAATATTACATAATTTGTCAGTAAACCCTGTCTAGCATTACAGTATAAGCCTTTGCCCGTGATATGCAGCGTCCATTGGCACATTAATCATGTTGGCGAGGATATAAAATACAGTATCGTTATCCAATAATGAGAAGATATTTAGGTAAATAAGAAGAGTTTGTGAAGATATTCAATATAATTATGTGGTAACAAAAAGAATACACATTGACATATTTTTCAACAGGGAGCACACTTTATATTGCATCGTTTTATCCCATGAGGTGTGACTTTAGTGACATAACTGTTATCTGCCGGTCACACACGTTACATAAAGCACAAACTCCTCGGCTGAAACAAAGAGCCAGACGGATTTCTAGGCAGTGATTGCAGGAAAGAATCGTGGGATTTAAAGGTGATCGCTGTGATTTTTAACTCTATATTACCCAGTTTTGTTTTTTAAACTAAGAAATAAAAGATAGTAAGTATGTACTCCAGATATTGACAAGATATTAATATTCACAACACAGAGTATTGGACGTTTAGTAAAGTAGCCTGATATAGTTCTAAAAAAAAAGATCCATAATATTATTTCCAAATAAAAAGCGCTGCGATTCCAGATCCACTGATCACGTCCCCTATGTACCATTATATTCAGACCTTGATGACGACCTAGCTATGCTAAATTCTAAATTTTATAGCTGTTCTTGGGCACATTTGTGTTGCTAATTCCAAATGCAGTCTGATTTTTCCCTGTCGGTTCTAGTTTTACAAAATAAGCAAGGAACAGCTATACAATGTAATGCGCTAAAAATATGTAGACCAGTGCTTTGTGTTTTTTACAAGTGCAATAGACAGAAAATTGTGTAATAAAATTACAGTGGAACCTCGCTTAACGAGCATAATTCGTTCCAGAATCATACTCGTTAAGCGAAACACTCGTTATGCGAAACAATTTTTTTCATATAAATTAATGTAAAATACGATAATGCGTTCCATGTAGAAAAAAATACTCACAAAAAGCTATGTTTAACGTTTATTCAAACACAATTATATTCATATTTTTAAGGAGAGTGAATCATCTTAATCTTTTCTTCAAACGCGGAACGAACCCACCTGGAATGCGAATTAGATTTTAAGAAAAAAAAGTCGAAATAATTATTATAGATAGCTAATTATTTTATTTTTTTACTAGAAAAATGTCCAGAGACATTTGTTTTTTGCCGACGCTTCAAAATTTGGCGAATGTGCTACACAGCATTATCATCAAATAAATTTGCAACGCGCATAGTCACTTCCTTATTAAGGTGATGCTTCTCAATGTAAGATCCAATAGTTTGCCATACTTTCAGCATTTCTCTTATTTCGCCAGAAGATTGTTGCTTTTCTGTTACCTCCTCTTCCTCCTCTGACAAACTTTCCCCCACAACTTCTTGCTGTGAAACACAATGCAACTCCATAAGCTCTTTGGTAGTCTGCTCTTGGCTGTTCTCTTTCACAAGCTCTTTAATATAACTGCTATCCACCTCCAATCTCATGATAGTGGCCAAAGACACAATCTCGTTGACTATAGGTTCCACATGTACTGTTTCGAACCCCTCAAAGTCACAAATCGACAACGTTCTCCGGCCAAAGCTTCTTCCAAGCAGAAGTTAGGGTTCTCTTGGTAACCCCTTTCCCCGCCTTGTCGATCATCTTGAGGCAGGCAACGACGTGCAAGTATTTTTTCCAAAACTCTTTGAGAGTAAGCTTGGTCCCTTCAGTCACCTGAAAACAATGCTCGAAGAGTGCTTTAGTGTAGAGCTTTTTGAAGTTAGAAATAACTTGCTGGTCCATGGGCTGGAGTAACCGAGTGGTGTTGGGAGGCAGAAACTGGATCGTGATGAACTTAAATTCTTTAGAGAGGTCATCTTGTAGGTCTGAAGGATTCACGCACATATATCACAGTATAACACAAGTTTGAGAAAATGTGTGATCATAAGCGACACTACGATGCTACTGGAACGAGTGGTAAACACAGACTGATGATGCACACAATTCGGGACTTCCCCTCTCCTCGCCACTCGTTATGCGAAACGTTGCTCGTTAAACAAGTCATTTTTTTACAGTTTGTTTTGCTCGGTATGTGAATTACTAGTTATGAGAGGTGCTCGTTAAGCGAGGTTCTACTATACCTAAAAACACAAATTTCTATATAGAAAAAAAAATAGAGGTTCTGCAGTGATATCGTATGGGTAGGTGATATTTGGTTTTAGCAGGCCTTGTTATGCAAAATCAGGTGTAAAACCTTTAGCACAATTTCTTTTTCTTTAGGGTCTTAGAAAACCTGCAGTTCACCAATATACAACCAGTTGATGTACATTTAGCCAATCTTTTGCCTGTTCGTATTTCATCACTCCTGCTTTTCCAGGAGAAAATGTCCTAAGACCATACTACCTCGAGTGCCTCTGAAGTGATGCTTGGTCTGAATACCACTGTAGTATAAGCAATGAAAAACTTACCTAGCCTAGTATCACAGTATTGACCAGTAAATCCTTGCTGGCATTCACAGTACGGGTCTGTACCTCGAATTAGACAGCGTCCATTGATACATGGAACATTCTGACAGGGATCTGAGAAATAACATATGGTAATATTTGTGACGAGCTGGTTTGGACAGCTGTTTCTGTCCTTTTAAAGATTGCTTTGTTTAGATAATATTATTATCAAAGTTCTAAACATTTTCCTATTGCTTTTAATTAGCATAATAACACTGGATTAATTAAGAAATTTCCTTAACTTTTTCTTAAGGCTTTACTGTAGCAAAATTATAATTAAAGAGTTGAAAGGTAATAAAGGCGGAGAGTAGTGCAAGGGGTAACAAAGAGTAACTTCCCCCTTGGTAGGACTTCCCATCTTCCATTCTTTCTTTCCAGGCTCAATTGGGGGAGTCAAGATTTTGTTCTCCCCAAATTGACACAGTTCAGTTAGTTCTGTTGTCTTGTTGCCTGAGTTTGAATTCCCTGCCAGGGGTGAGTTAAAAGAATAAGTTTAATTTGATGTATTGCTGCTTATTCCTCTGAATTAATTTTACAGGCTGAATTCTGGAATTTAATGCCCACATGGCTCAACAACTATGATAAATTTCTTTATCCTCACTAACCACGTTTATGATCTAGTATGTACATGTATGCAAACATATTATCGATTTGATGATTGAATTAATGTTTATTTGCTACTAGAAACGTGCATTGGTATTTTCAATTATTATACTTATATTAATTAAGTGATAATTATGTCCTCATGTGAAATCTCGGCCAGTTCCGGTTTCCAGCATGGTGGGACAATTAAAAAGGAATGAAGTGTATATTCATTATACCTAATCCCTTCTAAGTTGATTTTACCTCATGGTGATATTAGCTTAATAAATCACTGTCTTGCTTTAATTTAGAGTTAGTCCAGATAATTCTGAGAATGGTTTAAGAGCGTGAAAAGTGAATAACACAGTGAGGCTGAATTTAATATTCACACTGTCAGAGAAGAAGAGATGTATGGCCCATGCTTGTAATTATTATTGTTGTAAATATATTTCCCTATTACTAGGAATACATTTCAGTTCTACAGCAGGTGGCCTTGCAAATTTAATAATTATATTTCACCCCTCACCACTTCTAACTCTGCTGAATAAGATTAGCACATGTGTGGATTTAGATTTAAACTGGAGTGAGTGTTGTATATTTTATGTTAATACTGTGACAGATGGAAAGCCCATTGTCATCTATGATTGTATTTTGACATCTATCCCAGCACCCAGTATATTGGAGATATGTCAATCCCATTTATTTTCAAACAGTGCAAAGCACCTGTTATGAGTTCCTGCTCTTGGTAAACTCACTCCCTGCTTCTCATTCATTGTGATGTGAACCCATGTGGTTAAAATGAGAATATTGTGAAATATGACTGTGTATGTCTGTGTGTGTAAGCATGTTAACCCTTCAAAGGAGTACTAGTGTGCAGACATCAGAACAATTTACACTGAGGAATGTCCTTTCTTTTTGTGTGCTGTAAACTCTTGTTCTTGAGAGTATTCATGAAACTGGTTTCCTAAATATTTCCCCATCAGGATTATGGACCATGTTCTGTACACATTCCCATTCTATACCAGTAGAATGTGAACACCTGTTACTATCCTACTCCATATATATGTGTGTAGTGTAACAGTTTAAAGACTGGAGGTATTGTTGTCTCCAGTTAGAACCTTCCTGACTGTTTGTATAAGGACTGTTCTATTGTTCTAGTTCCAGATGGTACATACAGGTGGGAGTCCAGAAGTAGATCCTAAGCTTAGCCGCAGATACCCGATTGTCCGGACTGGACTGGAAGATTCGGCCTGCCTGATGTGTTTCCGAAGCTTAGTCAGAAGCTGACAACAGAAACCTAAGCTACAGCTAAGTGGGAACATCTGTTGCTTTCCCAATCCATAATTTTATATCCACAGCCATTTTATTTAGTTATCATTGGAATTTATATTGATTTGAAAATCCTAATAAATGTTAGTTTTAATGTTCCTACAGTTTTATGAAGTTTCATTTTAACTGTAAACATTGTCAGTGAACTTAAGAACATTTAAATATACAATCTTAATTACAGCAGGGAATAAGATGTGGGCAAACCCCGAATCCTCTCATTTAACCAGCAAGGCTGGGGTTACTATAAGACTTTTTGATGACTCACAGTTTGCAATTCCCTCTGTAAAGTGCACATAGTGCATTCGCTAGTTAAAGCGAAGTTACCCGCCACAATATTGTTCAAAGATTGACAAGACGTACTTTTATATACACAATACAGTTTGTGTACTTTATAAGTTTGCAACAAAAAAAAAAAAAAAAAAAAAAAAAAAAAAAAAAAAAAAAAATTAGTCATGAATACAGATAAACTGGGTTTAAGAAATTACTTACCTATTCTAGTGTCACATAATTGACCAGTGAATCCTTGGGTGCATTCACAATACGGGTCTGTACCCCGAGACAGACATCGTCCATTTGCACATCGAACAGTCTGGCAAGGATCTGATAGGTAATATATAGCAGTGGTATTATCCAATGGTTTAGACGACATTTACATATGCAAAGAGTATTGGGTGGGTGGAGGGGGGGGCTGAGGGGGGGGGGGCACGGCTTTTTCAAGTGCGAAACGGGAGAAACCATTTTTTCTGGGAAAGAGAAGGGTGGACAACGATCGCATTCTTACTGTTAGACTCAAAGCAAACAATAGAAACATCTCTAATATACAAGTTTACGCTGTTAGACTCAAAGCAAACAATAGAAACATCTCTAATATACAAGTTTACGCTGTTAGACTCAAAGCAAACAATAGAAACATCTCTAATATACACAATTACGCTGTTAGACTCAAAGCAAACAATAGAAACATCTCTAATATACAAGTTTACGCACCAACATCTTCATATGGAGAAGAAGATCATTTAGAATTTTACAACAATTTACAAAACCAATTAGAAAAAGTAAAGAAAAGAGAAAATGTAATAATTATAGGAGACTTAAACGCCAAAATAGGGACAGGAAAGGGAAGAAAAGGTGCGAGTTCCACACAACGTTGGAGATAGGCATAAGAGCGGCGAGAAATTAATAGAATTTAGCATAGGAAACAGTTTTGTAATCGCAAATGGCTTTTTCAAACAACACCGAAGAAGGCTCTTTACATGGACATAACCTGATGGTAATTACAAAAATTAAGCAGACTACATCATGACGCAACAGAGATGGAAGACGTGCATAACCTTCGCAAAAAAAAAAAAAGAAACTACCCGGCGTTGATGGTGATACAGACCATAAACTGCTTGTGGCGAATTGCTTGGTATCCGATTGGGTGTAGAAGTGAAAAAATAAATTTGAGATATTATTGGCGGATCAGGAAGAAATGTCACTTGATGAACTAGCCACATAGGGAGTTGTTCCCGTAGAGACGTAACCAGGCTATTTGTCTCTTACTCAGGAAATCGTGATTTCGTTGCTTCGTTAGTACAGATTTTTATAGAGATCCCTTAGGACCAAAGCTAGGGAGTTGGGAGGCAGTCCAAGCCATACAGGATAAAATCAAATGCAACGAAGTCAATCTTCTCGTCTTGAACCTTTTCCGGTCGGCAAGCGCGGGTTTAGCAGCTATAGTACCACGGCCCCCTGCCAAAACATTTTTGTTGATTTAACTCTGTAAGACTCAAATATTTTCACTCCAAAGTTACCATATTTTAGAGCGTACAATGTTGAAGTAAGATGCAGCAAATATTTTTTGCGTTAACTATTGAAGTGTAAAACAATGAATTACCCAGTATGACGTCACACGTGGGGCCTGTAAAACCTACGGCACATTGGCAATACGTTTGTGATCCTTGAAAAAGGCATCGACCGCCGTTGCTGCATGTAAAACTGGCACAGGGATCTGTAAGGAAACAGAATGTTTTACTTGTTACCCTGAGTTGACCTGCAAGTGGAAAACTGTCCTTTACTTGCTACCCTGAGTTGACCTGCAAGTGGAAAACTGTCCTTTACTTGCTACCCTGAGTTGACCTTTAAGTGGAGAACTGTCCTTTACTTGTTACCCTGAGTTGACCTGCAAGTGGAAAACTGTCCTTTACTTGTTACCCTGAGTTGACCTTCAAGTGGAAAACTGTCCTTTACTTGTTACCCTGAGTTGACCTGCAAGTGGAGAACTGTCCTTTACTTGTTACCCTGAGTTGACCTGCAAGTGGAGAACTGTCCTTTACTTGTTACCCTGAGTTGACCTGCAAGTGGAGAACTGTCCTTTACTTGTTAACCTGAGTTCACCTGCAAGTGTAGGTCAATTTAAAATGGTCTCTACATCAATAGGGTTCGAATACAAGACTATGTTGTCGGTAAGCAAGCAAGCTATCCATCAGACTAAACCTATTTTGGCAATGTTTTTTTTTTTTTTTTTTTTGCATTATCCTGTTTGGCAGGCATGTCTCACACGTCCGCGGACATGAGGCCACAATAAAAATTTCTTGCAATACTGTTTATTAAATTACTTCAATTTCTTGTCGTGTGTGGCCCTTAAGGTAACATAAATATGACCCATGCGACCCACTGATGGGAGGGGGGGGGGCAGGGTGAGACTCCCAGTTCAATATATATGTTGCACGTGACGATGCCAACAAATCCCAGCATATGTTAGCTGTTTGTGGATTTTACTAGCCTCATATTCAGTAGTTTGCTATCTGTCGATAGGATTTGGGAGAATTATAAGTTGCACATACGCCATCTGTCCACTTGAACAGTTAATAGGGGAAAAAAAACATCGAATACACTTAGAGAAAAATCAACTATTTGTGGCTTTCGTAGAGTAAGAAAACGCATGTGACAGATTTTATGAAGAAATAATGGCTTGATATACAGTCAGTAAACACTAGTTGAGATGTGTAATACAGGCAGGGGGAAAACAAGAAGATACATTCACCAATGATGAACTAAGAACAAGGGTAGGGACAGTACCGGTAAATAATTTTATAGAACATCAAAGAATGAAATGGTTTTATCATCTGGTCAGAATGGAACCAAATCGGCCACCAGCTAGAACATCCCTCACGAGAACAGCAGGATACAAGGCAAGAGGGTGGAGGGTGTAAACGAGACACTACAGAAACATAGTAGAACGTTAACCTAGGCAACGCAACTAGCAAAAGGCAGAAACTACATATAATACCTCTCTGTGACGCTTTACGGCACAAGCAGACGGATATTAGAAAGAAAGAACACCTAGCGGGAGTATGCATTAAGCAACCTGTTTATCGTTATATTAAATAGAAAATATAATATGTAGTCCATTTTTCCTGAAAATTTCGATATTCTTCAGCCACCTTCTGTTTTCACTTGACGTTGCCATTCCGTCACTAACTTTTGATAACTTAATACAAACGGTGGACGTCTTCCTCCGTGTGCCACGGAAGTGTGTCGAGGTTGCTGTGTGTGAATGCCTGTGTGTACTGTCTGTGTAATTTATGTATTATTTATGTCCTTTGTCACGATACCGTCCCCATACACACGATGCCAAGAAAGCTTACTGCACACTTTTGATCTTTAAACTTTCCGACTGTAGAAAAAGAACGGTAGTCGCCATACATTTTATTACCAAATTCCGTTTGCTGACACTGTCTTCTAATGTCTGAGTTTTTCGCAACACGTGTTTCACTAGCAGGATGAAAGATAGGGCGAAATTAATTATTTCTTATCTCTGTTAAGATTATCACCTTTTTTGGACGTTGGTATTTGGTATCTTTTTTTTTTCTTTCTGCATACGAACGTATGTTTTTTGCATTCTGCTGTTTTGTGAGCTCAAGGGTCAGATTATATAATAATTTTATAGTAATTTTACACCAGCCTCAGGGGCCAGTAAAAGTAGATCGCTGGGCCAGTTTTGTCACCCAGGCCATAGCTTGTCCACACCTGATTAAGTAATTCACTGCAACATTCGGAGTATTACAGAGCACGTATCTAATCATCATTGCTCTGTATCACCTTCACTTAAGGTATATTTAAGGATGCCAAGCACAAGAAAGAAAATAAGAATAGCATCAACGAATTACTCTTAGCTGAGACTAGGTCTTGACAACCGATACATCCATGAATTAACAAGGACCTAAATGATGAACGTAAAATAAAAATATGACAATTAACACTGAAAGGCCAGAAGTAATGTCAATAGCAAGAAATAGGCAGAACCATAAAAAAAAAATTGTACTAGAGTACAGATGCATTAATCAGGCTAATGAGTTTTAAATGTCTGGGTACAACATTCTCCTAAGAAATTATTATCCAATACAATATAAAGCACACTAAGTTTTGGGACAGCTTCGACGCCCTACTTCACCTGACCACGCCTCTCACAGCAAATGACAAAATCATCTCATACAAATCATTTTCATTTCCATCCTATGCTGCCAAACCAGACATGGTCACTCACAACAAACCATAAAATAAAATTAATAACAGTGGAAACGAGGTGTCTGAAAAGGGTCCAGGAGTGAGAAGAAGAGATCAATCAGGGATGAGTCCATATGAGAAAACGTCGACGCAGAACCAGAAGAATAATTCTAGTACTGAAAATCCTCTACATCCTAGACTTCCTATATTATTGTTGAAATCAGCGCACAAGCAACCAGTTGCTAACATTACTCTGATAATTTTGATAATGACAAGCTTAACATGCATGTAAAATGAATTTCCACCTTGTCTGGAATCACACCGTGGCCCAGTAAACCCAGCAGGACATTCACAGTACGGTTCCGTTCCTCGTAGTAAACACTGACCACCATTGCTGCAAGCAAAATTCTCACATGGTCTGTTCTCACGATCTGTACAGATGTGAAGGAAATTGATTTATTTTAGAAACTTGCACGGCACAGCACAATAATAAAGAAAGACTTCAATACCTTGACCCATTAAGTAATATACATAACGAATGAATTAATGTATTGGAATGAATGAAGGATTGAATGAATCAACATCAATCCATTAGGGACATTCTTGTTAGTGCTCCGTCTATATCTTCAGTAGGCAGCGAAGAATTACGTGACTTACCAGGGTATCTTTTTATTGATAACAAACTATTTATGTTTACATTAAAATAAATTATTTTAGACAAAAAAGATATGTTTTTTTTTGGGGGGGGGGGGGGGGGGGGGGGGGGGGGGCGGGGGGGGGGTGCAGGGGGTTCAATTTCATTGTTCGGCATGTCTCAGTATTTGCCTGTTCTTCAATATGCGGTAAATAACAGATAAGGCGTGTCACATACATGTCTTAAAGAGTTGGCGTCTTCTCTCTTGGCTGTCTTGGACAAAGTTGCTGAATCACTCACATGTTTGGTTCTTTATGGAGCTATTTGGAAATATGTATTGCCACTCTGATTTTAAGTTGTCTCTCCATTCGACCAATATAGGTCAGCTGACACATACATGTAAATTAATCAAACAAATGGCTTTGATGTACTGAGATACTAGTTATTTAACAAGGTAAGGATTAAAGTTGTATGTGACCACTGGAACAACGGCAAAAGGAACGTTTGGCCAAAGCCGTTGTTAGTCCTACAGACGGTCTTTGAAATTATCAACTTGATAAATTAATTGGAAAAATAATTGTGGTCTGGGGACTAATTTTGTCTGGGTTTGAGGGGTCAGTAGCGTTAAACACATTCGGTGGGGGTACCCATTGATGCTTAGTTTTGTTGAAGGATTCTGTTAACTCTGCCAGTATATCTTCGATGGAAATCCTTCTAGCGCTGTTAAACAAGCTTCTCGTTAGACCATGTTTATTCTGAATGGATACAAAGCTAGGAAGCTTTAGATACTGACTAGTGAATTTTTTTTTCAGTACACCAATATTTGTCCACAGCCATCCTCTCTTCGTCTAATAAGTACATTGAGGAACATACTTTCTAGTTCGTGTCGTAACGAAAATGAGGTGTGAATTTGTGTTTCATTCATGACAATGTTGTCAGAATCATATTCGTCGACTTCACTTTCCGTGACAGTTTTTTTCCAAATATCTTAGGCTTGTTCAAACTGAGAGACCTAAATGTATCAGAAAATCAGTCAATTATTCGTGTTGTAACGATAATGAGATGTGTATTTGTGTTTGGTTCATGATGGAAAACAACACAATGCCTTGCTGTTTTTTAGCAGTTATTATTACAATGAAATCTACTTGTCCGCGGCACAGAACAAAATCATTTGTATGTTTAGATGTGTTTAGTTCAAAATGTGGCATTATTTCAAATCACTTTTTAATTTCTAAGAAATTATAACTAACGCAATGAGAAAACCTAAATATTTGAGGAAATGCCCATGGAAATAATAAATGCATAGAAAAGTTGGTTGCGATTAAAGAACATAATGATACATACCAACAGGATCTACAGGTTTCGTGCATCTGTTCCCACAAAATTGGCAGCATTTGAGGTCTCCGGCACAGTCAATATCCCCCTGACAACTAAGTCGTCCACACGTCTGCGTGTTAGGAGCCTTTGGAAATAACAATGACTGTCTCAACCTTTCATACTGAGTTCATCATTGTAAAAGTAAGGAGCTCTTACATTTCACTAGCGCGTAGGGCACATGATGCTAGGCATATTTTAAACAGACAATGGGTAAAGTTGTCAAAATCATATCCGTCGACTTTACTTTCCATGACAGTTAAAAAAAAATGCCTATCTTAAGCTTGTTCAAACTGAGAGACCTAAACCTATCATAAAATCAATCCAATTTGGACAGGGGTTAAAAAAGAACTTTCGGCTCGAACCCAAGAGTCCAGACAAGGCGATTCAGTGCGAGGCATTCTGGCAGACACTAGAATAGTTCACATAAACCTGACTGCTTCCTTGTGCATTTACTGCGTGTGTATTCTACTGGCTTTGCTTTGACTGCCTTTTTTTCCCCACAAGGGGCAGTTATGGACATTCTGTATGGTTTTAGTTAGCAAAGGAACAGAGCAACTATCGGTTGACCGTATGCTATGAAGCTGGAACTGTCCTTAACTAATTACCTGATTCTTCTCTTCTTTCAACGACTATCTTATTTTTCCCGGTCTCAAACAGTTTAATAATAATATTGAAATCGATATATAGTTTAGTTAATTTAGTTACGACTAAGCATTGGGTATTTTCTGCTCGTTCGAAAAATACATCAAGCAAATTAATCTTACCACGGGACAAGTGCCAGGTTTATGCTCGATGTTATCTAGGCCTACTCTCTTGCGACAGCATGTAGCACCCCCTCTCCTGTCATCCACGCAGGTGGATCCCAAAGGACATTCTCTGATGGGACCCGTGCCTCGACATTTCATCTGGCTGTACCCTAGAGGGTGAGCTGGTGCCCTGACCAGCAAGGATTCCAGATACCCTTGAGCATGACATTCAGCGTCCAAGTCTGTAAATTGTTGATATAATGATTACTTTACAGGCATATGTCGGGCAAAGAATCCATCAATCCATCTGTCCACAATTCCATCTATCCATCCATTCACCCAATGATCCGTCCATCAGTCCTTTAATCCATTTACCCAAGTCTACCTGTCTGTCTTCCGTCGGTCGGTCAGTCAGTCTGTCCTTTCGTCTGTATCTTTGTCAGTCCATTGGTCTTGCTGTCTGTCTGTCCATTCCACCCTTTCTCTCTCTCTCTCTCTCTCTCTCTCTCTCTCTCTCTCTCTCTCTCTGTCTGTCTGGCTCTGTTTGCTCACTCAAATCCTCCCTCATCCCATCACCTTGTCTCTACCTCTCGTTATCACTTATCTACATATTAAAATATGATTTAACTAAGGCTCACCTTTAACCAATATTTCATATGCCAAACATATGGTCTCTAGTTGACAGGTTTCACATGGCATACAGACACGACACGAAGTGGCCGTGGAACATGAATTATTACAGCTCATGGTGTCCACATTAGGCTGTTGACCTGTTCCAATAAGTTTAAGAAAATAAATCAGGTAATGTCTATACTTTACGTACATTTTAACTTCCTAGTTATACTTCAAAAAAAAAATAAATAATTTGATGTGTGTGAAATTACTAGAAATATAAGTATTTCCTCAGAAAAAGACGATCTACATTCTTTGGTCATGGGATGAGAAGGAGAAAACTGGAGTATATCGTGACTGTAGGTAAATCTGATAGGAGGAGAGGCAGAGGGAGTCCGAGAGAACAGATGCTGGACTGTTTGACATCATAGCATGGAAGACCATCTGTGTCTGAGTTTATTGAAAGTATACAAGACAGAAGGTTTTAGATAGACATTACTAAAGCCACACGGCATGGACTTAGAAGAAGATGAGTATGCCCAGGCATGTGTTATTCGCATCATCCTTATCGAGTCTTCATCATCAAGTACCTTGCCGACTGACGTGGGCAATCATACCTCTCCACATTACGATCTTCAACAGCATGTATCAGTTCTTGTATTGATATCTCTCGATGCTATGACAAAATGCTGTCTAAAATCCTCTTGCGTCGTTTTCCTCTTTTTCCCAAGCAGATCTTTGCAGTAGTCAAAACATGTTCCAGTTGTCTACACCCCCCCCCCCCCCCCCCCCCCCCCCCCCCATAAAAAAAAAATTGACGAGTCTCTTTCTGATGTTCTTGATAAGTTGATTCCAGCTCTCGCTCTTGTCAAAACTCCGACATGGCCATCGGTGGGTAAGGGGTGCCATTATACACCGCCAAGTTTGCTTGCATTTCCGTTGAATTAACCTTTCCTGTCGTTACTGTGTTGGCTTATGAATGCTGTTGTGTTTTCGTTGATAAGAATGTTAAAATGTTCAATTATATTAGCACAATTTGTTTCCCTTCCATTGTTTTAATTTTCCAGTCATAGATTTAATTAGTCACTGTCTGTTATCAGTAGAGATCTCGTCATTCCATTGTGGGATGCAATTTTTCGGTAATTTGAAGCCCTATCCTGGGTTTAGCCGAGGGCCCTAAATATAGCCGGGTCTTCAATATGGCCTAACAGCTGAACGGGGCTTCCATGACCTTTCCACAGGTGATCCTCATCCGTATGGTGGCACTTATTGTCACTGTGTGTTGATCGCTTGCGTGATGTCCTGGTGGGTTACAATTTAGATACACACATGTTATCAGCTAATCAGCGATAGGTTTTGACATTTCTATCAAAGGACATGCAACTAGACAGGTGATGTATTCACGATTTCATACTTCAGTATTATTTTTTTTTTAATTAAGTAACGATGACCAGGAGATGAAAACAATAGAAATATATGTTCTTACGATCGACGATTTCACACAGCTGGCCCGAGTATCCAGTCGGACAATCACAATACGGTACATTGGATCTGTTGATAAGACAGCGTCCACGGTTTTGACAGAGGAAATTGTCACATGGACTCCTTCCAACATCTGTCAAGACAAATACGTTATAAAGATATGTATATCTATATTTATATATATATATATATATATATATATATATATATATATTATATATATATATATATATATATATATATATATATATGCATGAGGGGAAAAAAAAGACAATTCTACAATCTGACGAATGTAGTTTACACCATGATAAAAAGACATCAGGCAATTTAAAAAAAAAATATGATGTGACATACAGAAAAGATTCACTATCAGTCCTTTTTTTTTTTATAGTTTGTTTTCGTTGATAATCTGTCATATTACCACACCACTAAACATTACCAGTCTGACAATATAACAAGCAATGATTGCAGTCTGATAATACTACTAACAGGCTAAGACCCTAGTCTGTAGTTATGACGAAACATTTCCCTTAGGAGAAGCTTTATTTTAATGAAAACTTACTATTGAGAATTTCGCACCGCTGCCCGCTATAGCCAGGCCGACAAACACAGTGAGCTATCCCAGTATACAGAGTGTCGCAGTACCCTCCATTGAGACATTTCAGGCTTCTACACGGGTTGAGGCCTGGGTTTGCTGAAGAGTCATACAAAGATATTCTGAATTCAGAAGACTTAAATTTAAAAGTATATTGCACATAATTAAAATTTCAAAAATATACTTTTACGCAGAATAATAATTCAAGTATTTTCAATTGCACAATAATAAAAAATATATTCTAAATGCACAAGAATTATATAAATATATTTATAAAAGATAAAGAATTGTGAAAATATCTTCTAAATGGTTTTTAACTCATTCTAAATGCTGAAAAAAAAATATAATAATGAACAGTTTTTAAGAAACAACTGCAAAACAGAGGATTTTTTAAAACAATACTAAATTACATATTTCTTACCCATACTGTTTTGCTGCGGAAGAGAAAAGAAAGAGGAAATAAAATCATAATTATCATAGAAATAATAGTAGAAACATATTACAGTAGAAAGATATGATAGATATGAAATAAACATTGAAACACGAACACAAACTAGGAAGATCTAACTTCTATATAACTTTACAAGCATAAACACACAGAGAGAGAGAGAGAGAGAGAGAGAGAGAGAGAGAGAGAGAGAGAAGAAAGAGAGGGGGAGGAGAAGGACAACTGAGCTAGAAATATCGGACTAGTATAAACATTATGGAAATATTGACATTCCAGTGAAAATATCCCTTTGACATGAACATCGTAGAAACAGGAAAGCCATATAGATCTCAGTAATAAACCTCCGCTACATGTAGTGTAGTGACTAATCTACCTTGTTTAAGCATAATAGAAACAGATGCATTAAATTAATGTAATCGATTTGTCTAAATATAATACACACACAAAATGCAGCAAAAAAACTTTTAGAAGCAAGTTATAGTTATGATAGGTAGGAACGAAAAATATGACCTAACAGAAATTATCAAGACGGTAGTTTCCTTAAACGAATCACAGAAGGTCCTAGAGAGATGGCGTCAACTTTCAACGATGAACTTAACTTACAATCAGAGGAATAATCCACAAGAAAACAATAGCTACTTAAATGCAAATTCAGAACTAAGCATAACACTTGCAGAAGTAAGGAAAGCTGTAAAAGAGGCGCCTTGCAACAAAGCACCGGGCCCTGATGGTCTACCTGCTGAACTAATCAAAGCAACCGAAGAGTTGTGCCTAAAATGGATGCACAGACTGTTCAGCCTAGTCTGGACAATACAAAAAACAACATACATATTAATTTAGTGAAGTAAAGAATGGAATTTCGGAAGAACAAAATTTGAACTGATGCATGTTCACCATTAGACAATTAGTAGAACGGACGGTAGAATTCTATAAAGAATTAATTACACGACGCATTCATATACCAAGAGAAAGCTTTCGATCTAATCAGTATGAATTAATTATGGAAGGTACTACAGGGTTGTCGGCTCTGTGGCTAAGTCGATGCGAACACTTCGTAATGCCGGGATGCCAGGTTCGATCCCAGCTGTGGGCCATGCGCCTTGCGTTTGTTTCGACAGTGGTATCAAGAAAGCCGACCGTCCAGGAGCAATGGCAAACTACTGGATGTAAATTTGCATAGAAAACCCACGCAACAGCCAGGGGCTGTTGGGGTTGGTTCTGCAATGTCCTGTAAAGGATACGCAACTAACCTTAACTACAGGGTTACGGACGGAGTAAACGAACACCTTATTAAATTGTGCACGAGTTTATTTGTGAATAGCCACTGCACAGATATAACAAATACAGGAATATCAGAAATGTTCTACATTAGATCTGGAGTGAGACAAGGGTGCGTTCTATCACCATTACTGCTCATCCCATACCTCGACCAAATTTGCAAATAAGCTAAAACCAGTGTAGGGGACAACATCAGAGAATTACTAAATGAATTGCTTTTCGCCGATGTCCAGGCAATAATAGAACCAACAAGCTGTACAAATACAAGATACTTCGGTGAGGTACAAGGTGAAAGAGAAGAAGAAGAAGAAGAAAATGAAGAAGAAAGAGGAGGAGGAGGAGGAGAAGAAGAAGAAGAAGAAAAAGAAGAAGAAGAAGAAAAAGAAGAAGAAAAGGCAGACAACACATAAATGGTTTGGCCATGAAAGGCGATTCTCATCAAACAGGGCACCACACAGAGCACAGTTACACAGTGGTAACAGAGCCAGAGGTCAACCACAAAGGATATGGACAGCAGAAATAGACACTAAAAAGTACTTCATAGGAAGCGAACAGAACTGCCTATTCCAGAGATCTCTTTCTGTCCTGACACTGCAAGGCATTCAATGAGTAGAGAAAAGAAGCACAAGGACTAAATATACTAGTCATGCATGTTTTAGTAGATAAAGCATAATAAATAAGCATCATAGACACGAAATGTACCTGACTGAGTGATGAGGAATGCTTTCTAACTGACATTTGTGCTTGCTATTGTTGTTTGTACTTAACAGAACAACAAGGACGTTTGGATATCGAAACAGAATACTCAGTGAACTTCATACTTTTGTTGTTATTGGTAGCGCTGTGATCCTTTCTCTCTCTCTTTCTCTCTCAATCTTTCTCACTCTCCTCTCGCTCCCTCTCTTTCTGTCTGATAGTTGTGAGTTATGAGTTAGATTATCTTTACAGCACTCCGGACACATCCATAGGCGCTAAGAATCCCTTCTCAACATATTCATCAGCGTCGTGCGACCTGGAAAGCAGCTGTCCTGCATTCACCAATGGTTGCTCTTCGCTGGGTACATGGACCTCATAACCGTGTTATACCAATCTTACTACAAGGGTTCTGCAATTTCACTAATGTGTGTGTGTGTGTGTGTGTGTGTGTGTGTGTGTGTGTGTGTGTTGGCTGGACAATTGAATGATTATTATTAATTATCGTTGTTGTATTACTATTAGTGGAATCTTAAAAAATGTGAATGCAACCCCTGGTGACTTGCAGAATACATGGTTCAAGCGGTGAGATCTTTTGACAAGTATGCATCTCTGTCTGAAACCGTCCCTTGGGTGCAACTTTCTGCGACAGCCCTCTATTACAGCCAGCTTTCTGTCACAGCATGGACAGCATTTTATCTGACTGAGCCAGTTGCATTCACTGTCCCCTTCAAAGAACTAATCATGCTGACCTTGGGTGCATTGGAAATCCCATGTGTTAGTATCTCAAATATTTGTTATCTGTCAGCCTGCTTCTCTTTCTGTCTCTCCCCACCCCCTCTCTCTCTCTGTCTGTCTGTCTGTCTGTCTGTCTGTCTGTCTGTCTGTCTGTCTGTCTGTCTGTCTGTCTGTCTGTCTGTCTGTCTGTCTGTCTGTCTGTCTGTCTGTCTGTCTGTCTGTCTGTCTCTCTCTCTCCCTCGATATATATATATATATATATATATATATATATATATATATATATATATATATATATATATATATATATATATATACTTATTATATATATATATATATATATATATATATATATATATATATATATATATATATATATATATATATACATACATATAAATCTACTCACATAAATAGTAGACATGTTTGCTGCACCGGCAAGCGTGCGTGTGGCAGGTGTTTGAGTGTATGTATATGTTGTATACATGCCTGCGGGTGTGTTTACCGATTAGTATTTGCGTATGCGTGCTCAATTTTAGTATAACTGATATGGTATTTTGGCTACGGTACACCAGTAGCACACATATATCTTCTTGTAGGGATTCAGCAGTCCGAAACGCAAGTTCAAGTTCTTTCCTTTGTGCCAAAGAACTGCATGACTGTTGGGTGAATAGCCGTTAACGAAGGCTGTCAGGTCGTTGTAGGGTTGACGCTTGGCTGATGGATGTAATTTCCTAAGTTCCTTTCCCAGCACAGAGTGAGGGTACTGCTGGGTTGCAAGTTTAATAATCCTCACATAAACTATACACAACCATGGAAACAATTGTTTCACAGAACCTTCGCGGGAGCTATGGCGATCGTGCACTGACGTCGAAACTCGCAGCTAATGATGGTAAGAGTAGAAAAAGGAAAGGAAGAGAGAGAGAGAGAGAGAGAGAGAGAGAGAGAGAGAGTGAGGAAGGAGAGAAAGAAAAGAGCTGGTATAGGAGGACTAGAAGAAAAACTGACAGATTCTCTCTTTAGTTCATTCGTGTTGTATATTGGAACTGCAACAAGCACTCACACACTGTAGAAAATAGTTTATGACTTTGATTTCCTCGTGATCCAGCAGATCAGAATAAAATATGAATCGATCATTAAATGTCTATGATATGACTGCTACAGTGATCCATGTAGAGCACAAAATCGAGAATTAGCAATGTATGTCAAGCATGGGAATCCATCTTCGATGGCTTGATACAAAAGCTTATAATAGTGAACTGATTAAGATTCAAGGATTGGTTGCTTCCCATAAACCACCACGACTGGTACATCTTCAACGTATACGCGCATGTGGATAAACTTTTCAATGAAGGCGCATGGAAACTCTAAGCAGGTTTGGCAAAAACATTGAGATAAACAAATCCTGAATAATGCATTTAAAATATGTGCCAAAGAGGCAAAGGAAAACATTTGGGAAAATTTTGTGACAGACGTAGCGGGGTTAAAAACATTACTTTCATTCTGGATTTTGCACTGACAAATGAGTAATAAAGGTACCTTTCATCAAAAGCCAAATATTCATGTTTCAGGAGGTAAAATATTAACAAGTGACATGAAGAGAAGGCAAGAA